CAACGCGAAATTCTTATAAACTGGAACGTATCTACCGCGTTATAGGGGGGTCGACTGTAGTTAAATATTTAAGCGATTAGGGAATTGGGGACATAAACAAACCCTGATGAAAGAGCCGAAATTTTACTTAAACGACAGCTTAACCGAACCATCTCTAGCCGAGTACAGTGGAGACTGATTTTTTCGTATTATTAATGTAATAAAGTTGATATCAGGTGGCTTTTATTATCGTCAATCTGTGAAAAACGTTGTTTTATTCCTTGTTGCATGGCGATCGCCATAAACTGTAATTTAGGTGCTAGGTCAGAAGACACGGCCTTGTCGCAGTAGCGGTTGAGAGTAACAACATACAATTCGAAACCGATCAGATGGCGCGGGAGAGGTAAGTTTTGCGACTAAATATGACTCCTCTCCAGCCACGTTTTCCTCACTTTAGTCTTTTCTATTGTTTTAATAAAAATTCTTTTGTTGTTCAATCAGGACATAAATTCTCCCCATTCGTATCTGAAACTGGAACTCTATTTCTTGATAGAGTGGTCACCTTCGGACCTTCAAAGCGGCTTCCGTCTGATACCTCACATATAATGAGCGGCCGGATGGCCGAGCGGTCAAGGTGGCAGCCTACCGCTTCGACTGAAATAATTAAATCCTAAATATGCGGCCGGATGGCCGAGCGGTCAAGGTGGCAGCCTACCGCTCTGGGGGACCCGGGTTCGAATCCGAACGAGTCGAAAAATCCCCAGGAATTTTTCGGGGGGTGGTCCGTTCGGATACGTCGGGCCCCGTCCCTCACCACCCGGCAGCCCCATTGTGGGCCTGGCCGAACCCATAACGGGCTTGCAAAAAGAGGCCCTCTTAGTGCCCAAAGGGCGGAAAGAGATAAAAAAAAAAACCTCACATATAATTCCATCTAAAAATTTCTTTAAAAACTTGCATATTATATTTCCATTATTCAATACACTTAAAGTGCGTGGATATCAGTTCTCCCATGTGAAGACTGTATAAGTGTTAATATAATATAACATACTGTAATTTCAAATGATTAAAAATAAATTACTTTACAGATAAATTCTTGAACATCAATGACATATAAAGACATACCGACAAAAGATGTTATCTGGTAATTCTAATTTATCTGAACAAACCGTCCAACGAATGCTTAACGTGTTGAAGCGCCTGCCATTAATCTGTATCATTGACGGTCAATTAACATACCATCTGAAATATTAACTAAATTTTTTGGGAATGTTTTCATATTTCTACATGTTATTTGAATTTTCCTTAAAGCATTTTTTTCTAAATGTAAAATTATTATATTATTTCTATTAATTTGACATATTTTAGCGTGTGTGTACCACGGGAAGTTACAGTATCGAAGCCGAACAGCTGCTTCATGCTCTTTTATTCTTACTTCCAATAAACGACTTATTTCATCTATATAAATATTTGGATTTTGACAGTTACACTCTATTTTATAAACTATCCCTGCCTTTTTAAGATTATCTATTTTATTCTTACGATGTTTATTAATGTTTTTATAAATGTTATGTGATATTTTATTAGTCAAAGTTGGGGCCAAACTAATATAACTCTTTATAAGGAAATTATTGCAATTGTCGAAAATGTTTTTAATATACGGAAAGGTTTGTCCTGTTTATATTTCGTATTATATCTATTTGTGTAATATTGTTTGTGCCATGTATTTAGTTTCACTTTAGAACAGTCATTAAGAATAAACTTTGTTTCTAGCTTTTTAAATTTAAACGCGCTGGCAGACTTCGGTTTAATGTGATTTCATTTTTCATGCCATTGTTTTACTACAAAACTTTTTGTACTTTCTAAAATTATATTTTGCTCAGTAAATTTGAATTTTTTTCATTCGCGTGTACATTGTTTTTCGTCATCCGTCATAACTGTTAGAAACATTATTATTAATTCTAAATTAACATAAAATTGTGCAACTTCAATAAATATCAAATCTTTAAACAGTTAATATGAAATTTAATAAGTTTTATTAAGTATAAAAATTTATATACAATGATGAAAATTTATGTACAATTTTAACTGCTAAAGTAATTATAACTCTGCTTTAGACTTATATTGATTACAATGTGTGTTTTTGGTTATAGTTCAAGGTGGAAATGGTTTCCTCTCGTAGTGCATTATTCTGTGGTGAAATGTTTTACTAGTGAAACACGGGTCGAAACATTATAAGTTTCTTTGGCCAATTATAGTCGTTTAAACAACAGCGTAACACATTCTTTTATTAAACACGAGAATAGTGCTCAATGTTTCGTTTTCACTTTGGCTACTGTCGTTGTTCTATGCATTTTAACCGAAGTGGAAGAACAAATCTCGAATGTTGATGAATCCGTCCGTAAATTGGGATGAAAGTCAATTCCAGTTGATTAAGTCGTAGCCGGGTGGCTGTGTCACATTCGGTGGCAAGTCGAAATCCGTGCAAGAAGACCTTGGCAGAAAAAACGTTATGTTTTCCAGCAGCAAAACAACCGTTTCCACCAAGGCCTTTTACGCTCGACCGATACTTCCACCATTTCTTCGGACTCCTTTCTGTCCAGTCCCGTCTCACGTAACCGTGTCTCTACCGTACATTCCGGAACTTCCGGATATCGCCGCTGCAGATAATGGACGAAAGACGAAGCGCTGTCGCCCTGAGTTACGACCATCACTCGTTTGACGCCGGGTGTATGCGACTCCTCCTCCGCATCTTTCGGAAGCACCTGTATTACACGAGGCGAAGACGATGCGCCATCCTTGGGCTCAGTATGTGTCACGTCTTCAATTCTTTGAAATTATCCATCCTGCAAAGAAAAATGAGCAAATGTTGTGAAAATACAACTTGCATTAATTAAGAAATATTCCTATTCTCTTAATTTCATCTAAATTGTAAGATATATATACATTTTTTATGTAAAATTAATTTTAAAATGCAATAAAGATTTATGATAGAAGATTATAGATTGCCAGAACACACAATATTTGTGAAAATACAGAAATTCTCATTAATTAAAGTGTAGAGTATAGCGGTGTAAATTTCAAATTGGATATAATATGTATATAAACCATAGCGGAGAATAACAATTTCATTTATTTATTAATTCTTACTTTGCTTTTACAATTCCATTGAATTTGGACTGAACGAAAATTTACAATAGAAAGTATGAAAAGTATCTTCTAAAATAAGTGGAAAGATCCCATTGATCGCCTCTGTGACCAAACCGATCAATTGTTATCTAAATGCAGCTTTGTCGGAAAATCATTGCCACTAATTGTGATATTCGGCTTAATTATGTTAAAAAATACCTAAATTTATAAAGTTCGAGTCTGAACTTGCTGATAAAATCACTGCAAATGATGAAAAAGGTTCGGATTTTTCGCCGAATTTCGTGATTTTTGCGCCTCTGTGTCGCTGAAGAGACGTATTTTCGCGGATCATTTCTTTCATATACATTCGTGTTAACAGTAATATGTATTCAAAAAAGAAATATTCACGTGTTTCGTGTCCGTATAAAGATGAATAAAAATTTCGATTTTGTGACGATCCTTCCAACCGAAAAATGAATAGTAACCCCTTTTTAATCTACTTTGTTAAATTTACTGAGTGACACTTTCTAATCTATGAATAAAACTGAAATTTTGTTAAATTAAGGTGCCCGAATTTTACAGATAAAAGCTTATACATGATAAAGACTAGGAAGCGAGTCACGCCTCTGAAATATACTAAAGATAATGAGATTTATTGAATGACTACACATCTCTCTTGAGAATGATTTATTTTTGCATTTATGAGGAATTAGATGTGTTAAGCTTTTACCTCTCCACGGTAGACATTCCGCACCATGTAAATGCAGAAGATAACACTGGTCGACAGCCAAAAAGCTTCTGAAACCAAAGTAGCTGAATATTACTAATTAAAGGATGCTGAATATGAATATGACAATAAAAACGTTAACTTGTTTTTAAGATTTCGAACCAAATATGTCAAATTTTTGAAAAAATTGCCATTTTTCTGTAGTTCTTGAAATGTATTCCTATACAGCTTAAAGTACATTTTCTTGAATGTCTGTGGAAAGGAAAGAAAATAATCATTCTTATGACAGCTCTCAATATATGCTACAAACAATGCGAATGGAGACTCCATTGATTCCTCCAAGGTGATCCTTAAAGCTATTTTGTTACTGTTTTATAATAAAAGCTTTCTATTCATATTGGCCATGAAAAGTACACGAAAGAATCATACAAAAGCATGAAGTAACTTCTTGCAAAAGTAAATTATCAAGAACATAAATGGAAGGTGTGTTGTGATTTCAAAGTTATAGCATTATTACTTGGACTTCAGCTGAGGTGTGCGAAGTACTGTTGTTTTCTCTGTGAGAGGGATAGCAGAGACCGAGTAGCAGATTTCAAAAGGAGAGACTGGCCATAAAGGAAATCCCTGAAACCTGGATCAAAAAATGTTATTTCTGAACTGTTAGTAAAACGCAGTACCATCGTTGCATATAAAATTAGGACTTATGGAAAAACTTTGTCAAAACTCTGTATCGAAATGTCCCAGAATTTAGTTTTTTTTTTTTTTTTTTTAGAGAGAAATTTCCTACATTAGTGAGGCAAAAGTTAGAGTGGATAGGTCCATAGATTTCCAAGCTTCTCAAAAATACGCACTTTGATAGTGTAATAATAGGTGATGGAATAGAAGGTTCGAATGCTTTCAGGATGGTGGTAAACAATTTTCTTGGAAACCACAAAGCTTCTAATTACAAACAATAAATTACAAATTACAAATAACACGCTGTCGTGTTATGAAAAGATGGGATGCAACATGTCATTGAAAATGCACAAATGAACTTTTTGCATCTCTATTTAAAATTTATTTTGTATTACAAGTACAATCTATATATTAACAGGACTTATTATACTGGAATTATGGATGCAGATATTTAGTCTTACAGTTCAAAAATAATGTTCTTTATTTAGTTCACCTGAACACACACACTTTAAACATGTGTTTCGGACTTGCTTGTCCCTCTTCAGCAGGCCTTCCAACGACACTTTCTATAATTAACAACAATCAACAATAAAAAACATTTTCGGCACAATTATCACTAAAACTAGTTAAAAAACACAGACATTTCCCGACAATAAATATTTAAAAATTCTTACAATTTCTGTATTGCCTATCTTCACTATTTTTCCACCTACACTTACTATCCACAGCAACCATACGATTTGAGACATTCCTAATTTTTTGACAATTAAAATCAATTTAAAACAATAAATTTAATCATTATCTAAAATATTANAAAAAATAGGTATATTTATTTTTTTGAAGAAAATAAAATATAACCGAGAATCAAACATATTTATTAGACAATTTAAAAATATTTAAAAGTGAGACATCTGACTTTGTTTTACAGAACTAAGTGCATCAAATTTGATCTCCACTGATGATGTCGCTACACGCAAACAGTTTTCCAAATAAACATCAGTAATTCAATTTCACTTGTGATTTGATGTACAGTATTTCATGCGACTAAAAAGTTGTTCACACGCATAAGTGTTTCTACATAGCGAAACCATCCACAGAGCATGTTTGTAAAACGCAGGATATTTATCCTTGTCCATATACGTTTCACAGAACTCTTCCAAAACAACTTGATGTAATTTCTCCAACGTTTCAGGGGGTACTTATTTATAGAATCGATATGGTAGACAAGCTACTTGGTTAAAGTAGTTTGAACTGTAATTATAAATATGTTAAATATGTATTTTAACGTCGATTGCAAAATCTTTCCAAATGCACTGGCGATAATAAAACGAAACTACAGAATAACACAAAACTTCGTCAAGCTGGACCGAAAGTAGTTATGAGTATAAGCCCGACAGCATTGCGAGCTTTCCGAAAACGCTGAAGACCACAAAACATATATAGCTGAAGTTGAAGTCTCATATTAAATTTTATCAACACTTAGCTTCGAACAAAAAACTAAGTAACCTTGAGTGTCAAATAGCGAGATATTTGAAATAGCTAAATAACCTATGAATTTTTCCAAAAATGAGAAATATTTCAAATATCTCTTAGCTATAATTCAAAAATACATAATACGAATAACTCATGAGGTAATGTTTTTTTGGTGATATGTACAATAAAGTTAACATTTACGTTTATTTGACCTAACTCCACGGGCCGCAACATGACTCCCGACGGGCCGCATGCGGCCCGCGGGCCTCGTGTTGGCCACCCGTGTTAAGCTTTTACCTCTCCACGGTGGACATTCTGCACCATGTAAATGCAGAAGATAACACTGGTCTACAGCCAAAAAGCTTCTGAAACCAAAGTAGCTGAATATTACTAATTAAAGGATGCTGAATATGAATATGACAATAAAAACGTTAACTTGTTTTTAAGATTTCGAACCAAATATGTTAAATTTTTTTAAAAAATTGCCATTTTTCTGTAGTTCTTGAAATGTATTCCTATACAGCTTAAAGTACATTTTCTTGAATGTCTGTGGAAAGGAAAGAAAATAATCATTCTTATGACAGCTCTCAATATATGCTACAAACAATGCGAATGGAGACTCCATTGATTCCTCCAAGGTGATCCTTAAAGCTATTTTGTTACTGTTTTATAATAAAAGCTTTCTATTCATATTGGCCATGAAAAGTACACGAAAGAATCATACAAAAGCATGAAGAAACTTCTTGCAAAAGTAAATTATCAAGAACATAAATGGAAGATGTGTTGTGAATTCAAAGTTATAGCATTATTACTTGGACTTCAGCTGAGGTATGCGAAGTACTGTTGTTTTCTCTGTGAGAGGGATAGCAGAGACCGAGTAACAGATTTCAAAAGGAGAGACTGACCATAAAGGAAATCCCTCGAACCTGGATCAAAAAATGTTATTTCTGAACTGTTAGTAAAACGCAGTACCATCGTTGCATATAAAATTAGGACTTATGGAAAAACTTTGTCAAAACTATGGATCGAAATGGCCCAGAATTTAGTTTTTTAGAGAGAAATTTCCTACATTAGTGAGGCAAAAGTTAGAGTGGATAGGTCCATAGATTTCCAAGCTTCTCAAAAATACGCACTTTGATAGTGTAATAATAGGTGATGGAATAGAAGGTTCGAATGCTTTCAGGATGGTGGTAAACAATTTTCTTGGAAACCACAAAGCTTCTAATTACAAACAATAAATTACAAATTACAAATAACACGCTGTCGTGTTATGAAAAGATGGGATGCAACATGTCATTGAAAATGCACAAATGAACTTTTTGCATCTCTATTTAAAATTTATTTTGTATTACAAGTACAATCTATATATTAACAGGACTTATTATACTGGAATTATGGATGCAGATATTTAGTCTTACAGTTCAAAAATAATGTTCTTTATTTAGTTCACCTGAACACACACACTTTAAACATGTGTTTCGGACTTGCTTGTCCCTCTTCAGCAGGCCTTCCAACGACACTTTCTATAATTAACAACAATCAACAATAAAAAACATTTTCGGCACAATTATCACTAAAACTAGTTAAAAAACACAGACATTTCCCGACAATAAATATTTAAAAATTCTTACAATTTCTGTATTGCCTATCTTCACTATTTTTCCACCTACACTTACTATCCACAGCAACCATACGATTTGAGACATTCCTAATTTTTTGACAATTAAAATCAATTTAAAACAATAAATTTAATCATTATCTAAAACATTATATCAAATCACTCACTTCGTTTGGTTCGTTTGTATCTGCTTACTTTTGTTTCTAATACATTCTCATTTCCTTTTATAATGCTTAACCATGATTGGTGGATTTCTCTACCACTGTTGGTATTCATTTTATTATTTTGATTAATTATATTTAAATGCTCGTACAGTTGTCTTTTATAATTATTTTTTTCCTTTTTTCTAATTTTTACTGTATTTAGATCTATTGTACAACCTTCTGAATTACAATGGTCCGATACTGCCGAATTTGCATATTTTCCTTTAATTGCTCTGATATGTTCACTTAATCTTATTTTTAATTTTCTTTTAGTTTCTCCTATATATGTTTTTCTTGGATTACAATTACAATCAATATTCCTTTTTCCTCTGTTATATCATATTTTTCTTCTTTTCTGTAACATAATTGTTTTTTAGTTGAATTTATTTTTTCTGGTATTAAGTTGATTCTATTTTTAATTACATTTTTAATTCTCTCAAATAGTTTTGGAACATATTTTAATTTAATAATGCATCCATCTGCATCCATAATTCCAGTATAATAAGTCCTGTTAATTGTACTTGTAATACAAAATAAATTTTAAATAGAGTTATAAAAAAGGACAAAAAGGCATATTAATTAATTGAACTTTTTGCATCCTCACATTGACTTTTCCCTGAAAAGTGTGGGTCTGTCAGTGACAAACATGGGGAGCATTTTCACCAAGACATCGCTTGTATGGAAAAGTGATAGTTAGGGAAATAGAGTCCGGCAATGTTAGTCGACTACTGGTGGAACATTACATGTGAAACGCTTGGAGATTCATACAAGAAGTCTGTAAATAAGTGTCATAGCCGCGTTGCAGACGTTTTTAAACGTTAAATGGTTTTGTTTCGAATACTTTAATCAAGTCTGTCGAAAGAGGATGACAGAGAGAACATCCTGGTCCCATAGGTTGCAGGGCTCCTCGAGGTCTTAGCCAATAAAACAAAAATTAAATACTTTAATTAAAAACTACAAATCTTGAAACCAGGCAGGCTAAGAAAGTATAGCAACGTGACTGAGATACTGCTGGAAAACCCTACATGTGTGTGGTGGAGCGTTATCTTGCTGAAAAATGGCTGTTTGCACCTCTGCCATTAAAGACAACATATGAGGATGCACGATTATTGGAACTGTTCCTCGTACTAACTACTATTAGAGGTGACAAACTGTCATATGAGACGGGTCCCCAGACTAGCACGCCAGCAATGGGATTAGTGTGCCACTCAATAGTAAAAGCGGGATTGAAGTGCTCACCAATGGTACTTCACACTCCAACACGGTGGTCGTCCCTTACCAGACAGCATTGGTGATTTGTCGCAAAAGAAAATACACTATTAGTCAGTTGCTGTTGATGCTTCTGTCATGATATCACTGCAAACGAGACTGACGGTGTTGGGATGCTGATGGCCATGCATGTAAATTTTCCTCTGCTAGTCTGCTATCACTGGTATAACAAAATACAGGATTCTGTAGTTAGACTTCCATCTGTCTCTGGATGATAGACAAAGACACCGTTGCAGCTGTTCATGGTTGTCTTACGATAAATTTTTTTTGGTCTATTTGGGTCGTCCAGAGCCTGCCCTTACATATGTCTTCAGCACTTCCTTACAGTCAGGTCAGAACGAAGAAGCCATAGACTTCAGGAATTTTTCGGGAATGGTCTGTTCCAGAATATGTCTGCCCCCGTCCCTCACCATCCTACAGCCCCATTGTGGGCCTGGCCGAACCCATGATTCGCTTGATAAAGGCCATTTCTTACGTAGCAACATTGCGTCATTGTTTTACAAAATCACTATACAGAAGTCCTTACATCGCAGTACAAAGAGCAATTTCATTATTGAAGGAAACGTGCACTATTTTTTACATCTACATTTGAATTAACTTTCTGCGCGAGCAAAGTTGTTAAAAGTGTACTATTTCTTGCAAAGTGTGTAATATTTTCTAAAATTTTTCGCTTTAATAGTGGAAAAAACTATAAAATCACGTTTTGAACAAGCAAATTGGTGAAATAATACATATTACTCCATTTGTGAGAGTTCCCACCACACTAACTAGTTGTTTACGTAAAGTTTCGCTTTTTTTACGTGTATGTAACACTTAAATACAGGTCAGTTTTCTGTAAAAAGTCCTCCCGCATGGCTTTCCCCTTCGCAGATGAAGCATTTGCTTATTTCGTCAATCAAATCCAATTCAATTTTATTCTATTAAAACGTAAATTATTGTATTAATAAAAATTCATTATAGACGGATTTATAAGTTAATGATAGAATTTTGAGAAAATGCGTTGAATTTAGCGCTGATATTTTGAGCCAAGTAAATATTTCTGCAAGATTTTCTCTCCTCCATTAAACTTCTTAGTTCTAACAAGACAGAAAATGTTCTGTAGATATTGATAGCTTCGATAACCTAAAAAAAACAATAATGAAGTTGGCTTTAAAATATACAAAAATATTATATGATACTTTACCAACTTTTAAAG